CCGTCACTGTATTTTCATCGATAAAGGGACACTTCCAGCGCCACGGGAAAAGTAACAGAAGAGACGCCTGCAGGGACTGCTCCGGGTTAGGGGAGCGGCTGTGATCACGTCTCAGGCCGACTGTGAAACCACCAAACTGGCTCATCCTGCAACTTCCTTCATCACTGAAGGTTCTTGGTGAGATCTGCCCGAGTCGACTCCATCTAGCTCCGGGTTTCTCAGCCTCGGCACCAGGGACATTTGGGGCCCCATAATTCTTTGCTGGGGGGGTGCCATCCTGTGCATTGTGGCAGCATCTCTGGCCTCTACCCACGAGATGCCAGGTGCCCCCACCCCCAGCTGCAACAACCGAAAATGTCTCGGGACATTGCCAACTGCCCCTGGGGCGCAGACGGAATCTGGGGTTAGGCCAAGTCACTGGATTCCTCTGTTCCCACTGCGGGGTAATGTTTGTCCCCTGAATGCTCTACAGCTTATCTTCCTTTTCTCCTATCGATGGAGTTTGAGATTTGTTTCGGGCTTTCTCTGCCGTTACAAATAACGCCGAGTAGGAAGCGCCCTGTTCGTCTCCCGGAGCCGGAGCGGGAGTGGGACCGAGCTGCCCCCCGAGAAACGTCGCGTTCGAGGAGTCACAGGAACCCCCCTTCCTTACGGTCTCTGGGTCTGGCGACTTGCTTCAAAAGCCCATCTCCACTTAAACCTTTGATTCGTCTGGAAGTGCTTGTGGCTGAAGGAGGAAAGCCCCTTGTCCGCTCGTTTCAACACTACTGTCGACACAGCTGACTGAACAACATACATTCATTTTTACAAAGTTACGTATTTTTACGGATTTCGGAAATTTTTCTAGGAGTCACACCGACCCGCCAGCAGCTATTATCCCTGGTGGTGGGATGATGGATGTTACCTGGCTGCGCTTAACATTTCCATCAATAAACATGTTCCCTGTGTGTCAGGAAAGAGTAACAACAATTAGAAAAATTAATGTGGTGACGCCTTGGCACCAGCTAGCTCGGCGCGAGTGACGGGACACGGGAGGCGGGAGAGGCTGGGGGTGGGGGTGCTTCCCACCCGGGAGCAGGGTGGGGCTCGTGGGGGGGCAGGAAGCCTCCAAAGGGGGACACGCCCCACCACAAGCACGCTGTCAGCTGCCATTATCAGACAGTCACTGCCTGTCGCCGGGCAGAGCTGGCCGCCAGCTGTCGCGCCTGAGCATGGCCCGGAGGAAGTGGGCTTGAGCAATGCTGGTGGGTGATGCCCCCCTCACTACCTGGAACGCGGCTGGCGGGCAGCCCTGCCAGTGGAGCCAGCCCTCGAGTAACGCCCTGGGGGACACACAGGCCTAGGACTCCCACGAAAAAATGTCGACCCCACGAGGACAGGGACCTTTTACTCTTTCCCGCGTTCCCCGGGCCTGATCCAAGGAGCCCAATAGGTATTTGTGGAATGGCTGAGGGGGACGATGCCACACCGGCCCCCAGGTCCCTTTCTCTTCCCCTGATATCTTCATGGTAAAGCGGCAGAGGGAGGGCCAACGGGGGCGCCTGTCTGGCCCACGGCCGCCGGCCACCCTCCACAATCCTTCCATTCTCGCTCCAGTCCTGAAATTGTCGTGCATCCGACTTGAACCACACGGCGAGATGTAGGCGAGAGAATCCGGACCCGGTTCTCCCGACGCTGGTCTCTGCTCCGACTGGGAGCTTGGCAGATAACCTGAACCTGCCTGGTGTCCTGCTCTAGGTCATCTCTGCTTCTGGAGATTGCTGATTGTCGAAACAGGAAGCCGAGGACAAGATGACATGCGATGATTAAAAGATGACAGTCACCCTCTGACTCAGAGAATCCAGACCCGATGCCCACTGTGCCAGGTGCCAGGTGGGTGAAGGGGCACTGGCAGTAAACAAGAGCCGACACTTATTGAGCGTGTAACGTATGCCGAGGGCTTCACGTTTTAACTCACTGAACCCTCCCAACAGCTCTACGAGGCGGGTTCAGAGGGGGTAAGAAATTTGCCCAAGATTGTGCCCCTAGGAGACAGAGGGGCTGGGCTTTGGACCCAGGCAGATTGGCTCCAGAGCTGGCGTCCTGATCCTTTGTCTTTTTCTCTTGAGCAGGTGACCCAAACACCAGGCAGTGAGAGCAGTGTGACCGGTGCCACCGATTACATGGACGAGTCCGAGAAGCACAGAGAGGGGACACCTGATCTCAGCTTGGGGATGGTCAGGGAAGATTTACAGACGGACGGATGGAAAGGTAGCCCGAGGGCTGGGGAAGGAGGCCAGGTTCTAGGCGGAGGGACGCCCGCACACCGTGGCATTGTTCGGGGAGAGCAGCAGCCCACAGAGAGTGAGACGGGGTGATGGGCCTCAGGGGCCTGGCGGAGCGTTTCCGTCACAGGTGAGGAGGGAGCCCGGAGACGGGCTGGGAGGGCCCTGTGGGTGCCGGGCGAGATGGTGCCCCGCTGCGGCCGCCATGGACAGGGGCGCCCTTTTGACTCCTCTACTTGGCCAGCATCAGCCAGCACGTCCTTCGGGAAATTATGCAGAATGAATACATTTTTTTAGTTTCCTTTTTTTAAAAATATATCTTTATTGATTCAGAGAGAGGAAAGGAGAGGGCGAGAGATAGAAACATCAATGATGAGAGTCATTGATCAGCTGCCTCCTGCACGCCCCCAACTGGGGATCGAGCCCGCAACCCGGGCATGTGCCCTGACCGGGAATCGAACCCTGATCGCCTGGATCCTGGGTCGATGCTCAACTGCTGAGCCAGGCCCGGCCGGGCTTGGTTTTCTTTCAGAAACCAAGGAGGCACATCTAATGTCAATGCCACAGATCCCTGGGACTAGGAGTCCTCCGATGCTCGTAGCAGGGCGACCCGTTGATTCCAGCCTCCACTGCAACGTGACTCCGGACGCGAACTTGGGTCATTACTTGTATAGCATATACAAGTAAGAATATTACTTGCCTAATATGCAGGAGGGGTTCAATAAAGTACTTTTCAGTGGGGGGGGGGTGAAGGAGAGAGAATACAAAGTCACATCTGTCCTTTGATTTAGAGGTTTCACTTCTCAGGGCTCCACATCCCTTGAGTCATTTCATCTATGTCAGAACTTCTCAGCCGGTGCACTTTGCAAATCTGGGGCCGTTTCTGGTTGTCATCACAGTGACCAGGGCTTTTTTTTTTTTTTCCAGCGTGCAGGAGCCATCCTGCAGTGGGAGTCCCGGTGACAGATGCTTCCTGCTACCTCATGGAAGATGCAAAACCAGGTCACCCGAGCCTAGACCGCTACTTGACTTTATGTATAATACACCAAGTTTTTTTTACGTATTAATGTACTTAAACTGTCCGAGATCACACTGAGTAAATAAAAAACAAAAATAAAAAAAAACTTGTTTTGCTTGCAATTTTACCGAGCGCTGCTCACCAGCCTCAGGAAGTGACGCGGCTGCCGGCAGTCGGGCGGAACGTGAGCACAGCAAGGCGCAGTCGTCACCGTCGAGGTGCCGACGCTCAGGTGCCGGCCGCCAGCTGCCCTGTCGTCTGCACGGTTATGCCCGAACATTCACACCCTGACGCGTATGATCGTGACATTTCCTCTGAAATTGTGTATCTGTATGCTACCTATGAACTTCAGGATCACGAAAGGGACGTTACAAAGTAATTAAATGAGAGGTTTTGCCTCTGATAAGAGTCGAGAACTGCTGGTCCTTGTCGGGAGGTCAGACTGGTCATGTGGTTTTACATACATACATTCCCCCCTCAAATGACACTCAAAAGTGGTGGCATATGTACATATATATGCATACATGTCATATATGTAACTGCAGAATTGGACTTAAGGTTACCTCCTCACTTAACAGCGTAGTGACTTCTAAACGAAGCACATTCTTTAAACCGAATTAATCAAACGGGCCTGCAGCACAGCAGCATCCCGCTGGCTGGGGCAGTCACTCAGACCACAGCCTCCGACTTCAGTGGCGGTTTTCCAGAAACTGCACTGGCGCCAGCCCCGGCCACCTCGTCTTCAGCTCTCCTCCAAGACGGTTTTAGCAGCTCAGTTCCCAGAGGCAGAGCACCCCACTCTACAGGAGCGCCTCAGTGCCCAAGGCCCACTGGGGCGAGATGCAAACCAGTACCTCCGGCCCAAACTTAGTGAGCTCACTGAGGTCTGTTATCTCATTTAATCTTTACAATCACTTGAAAGCTAGAAGCTATTACCCCAGGGTCACATACTGACAAGAGCTTGGGCCAGGATTCGAACCCAGGTCTGCGTGGCTTCAAACCCCAGTATTCTTTCCACTGTAACACATCACCTGCCTATCTCGGAAAATCTCGCAGTCATACCTCAGTTTAATCACTCAGTTTTGTTTGTAGATGACTGAAGAGCTTCTGAACAAAGGATAACTTTATTCACTCAACACCCACCTCATTTTATTTTGAGAAATTGAATAGCCTTAGTCCAGTACTGAATATACTTTCTTCTTAACTGCCTAAGATCTAATATCTTCCTTTCCTACCAAAAAGGATATACTTGGGCCTTTAAACAGGCTTTTCACATTTGTACTTCCTCTCAAGGTATCAAGGCATTTAAAAAAAAATTTTTTTTTAAATTGATTTGAGAGAGACAGGAAGGGGGATGGAGAGAGAGAGAAACATTGATGAAAAATATTGTCAAGGGCCACAGACAAGAGTCGTAAAATACATTTGCTTAAAGGTCTATATTTAAACAGCCCTGGCTGGTGTGGCTCAGTGATTAGAGCGCTGACCCCCCCCCAAAGGGTCTCAGGTTTGATTCTCGGTCAAGGGCACTGTACCTGGGTTGCAGGTACAGCCCTGGATGGGGCGGGTGCAGGAGGCAACCAATGGATGCGTCTTTCTCGAATCGGTGTTTCTCTCTCTCTCCCTCCCTCCCCCCCTCCCTCCCTC